AAGACTGTTACAGCACGGACAGGATAATATTTTGACGCTTAGCAACTTCTTTTTACGCTTTCAGTTCATATGATATTGCAATTATATGACATTATTATAACTCACAGGCCACCAAAACCGTTTCATTTTCTTTTTATCAATTCATCACCGTAGTTTTAACCAACAGTTAATACTCAGACGTCAGTAGGCAAGTAAGATGGAAGAGATGCTATGATTGTGCTGTCAGATGTGAATCATTCCTGATACACCTGCTTGCATAACATCGCTTCCCTCTAACTGACAGAGACAGGCCCCGTACGTCATGACATTACATGTTGGCATTACCACGGAAAATGACAAAGAAAAGGAGACTCAAGCATGCACAAAAAGGCTTGACGCTAAGTTGATACAAAGCAATACATAGCTCCATTTGCAAACAAGCTGGGCAATGATTTGCAAATCAGTTTTGACATACGCTGGGGAAAACAAGTATCTTAACATTTTTTCTCATCGTACACATTTCCAATGCAGCTATTCACGTGAAATTTAGACCAGACGTTGGTGTGAAGTCAATGCAACAATACGGATAAAGACACCCTAACATTCCATATGTGCAATAAAGTGGAATGACACACAAAAATAGTGTTGCACATGCTAAATAAAATTTATGTAATACCTGGGGAAGCCTTTGTTTGCAGCGCCAACTTCAAGATGCTTGCTGTATGGCGAAACTAATGTCTCACAGTGTTCAGATGGTATTTTGGCTCATTCTTGCAAACAGACTTTAAATCTTGAAGATTTTGAATCTTGAGAGAGAAATTTCACCTTAAAAAAAAAAAAAGTGATGTAACACAGTGGCAAACATGCCCCTGTCCCAACTATTTGTAGTGTGTTACAGGCATCAAACTCAAAATGAGTGTATATTTACAACAAAACAATAAAAGTTATCAGCTTTAATATTAAATATCTTGTCTTTGTACAGTGTTTTTTGGAATCACGAACATCTGTTGTCTGCAATGAAACAAACCCGTCTTATATAAGACGGTCTTATAATGAGAGCAACATTACAATATGTCAAAATTCCCTGATCACCAAAAACCGCAAGCTACCAAAAACAAGTACAAAGTTCAAGGCCTTGGAATCTTAAAGCCCTTACAACACAAGAAATAATGCCAGTCACCCTGAAAACAGGGAAAATAAGCACAGAGAAGGTGAAACAACATTCCTGATGAAGACAGATTTCTTAGCCATAATCCAGAATGAGACATAGTTCTGATTCATTTCTTAAAACTGCAGCAACAGCAGAAATAAAACAATGGAAATCTTCACAATTTAAGCACTAGGCCTCAAGGATTATCTCCCTTCAGACAGCTTTGGTCACATCAAGTGTGTGTGTGCGTGTGTGTGTGTGTGTGTGTGTGTG